TCATCTAATTTTTATCTGTTTCTGTTCTGGAGTCTCTAATCATGTCTTTCATTCTGCTCACCATCTCTGTAGTTATCGGGGAAACTATTTATGTTTTGAATTTTTTTAGAGCCTTGTTCATTGGTTTTGTTACTTCCATGTTATTAGGGTGTCCAGGTGGTTGACTATCAGATTTTTCCACCTTGTTTCCTCCAGAATTTTCCTCTGGTGAGCTGGAAGTCTGGGTTTGACCTTGTTTAGGTGTTTTCTCATTTCTATATTTTTTGTTGTTGATGTTTTTGGTTTAGTTTCCAGGTTGATACTTCAATACTGCTTATCATATGTTTTGCTTGTATTTGGAACCCTTCTGGAATGACTGCTTCTCAGAGGTTAGAAAATGACAATTTGTAATAGTTATTAATCTGTCACCTTTAACCTCATGGACTAGATAAAAATCAAGGGCCAGCACAAAATATGTTTGTAATAAATAAACCCTTCAATGCAGCAAAATTACCCTTAGGGATGAGGATTTAGGTGGAGTTAGAGAGGGAAAGGTTAGAATTGAGGCTAGAGGACACAGGAAGATCATGCAAACTGTGGAAAATTGTTGAATACAAAAGGAAAAGAGAGAGTGAAGGAACAAAGACAAGAACAGGACAAACTAACAGCAATAGAGAAGCTGGAAATTGTATTGACTTTCCTACAAAAATAGTGACAACTGAGAGAATGGGAGAGACAAAAACATCCAAAATAGGACAGGAACAGGAATAGAAAGAGAGAGAAATGAAGAAAAAGAAGGGAGAGAGAGAGAGAAGAGAAAAAAATTATAAAGGGCCTCCTTCAGGGTATGGCTCTCATGTCAAGGTAGATAACATCAATAGCAATGTGCAGATCTAAGTAAATTAGTCTCAGCAAGCCAGCCATATTCCACTATGATTCAAGCTGATTTCTCTCTGTAAGGCCTAAGTTGAGCTCCCTGACCTGCTGCAGGATTGAGCTCTGCAAGGTTCTACCACAGGTTCCAGCTGCCCTTCCCCTGAAATGAGTCCAGGTTCCTGTGGGAGGTGCTGATGACACCAAATTACCAACCACGGTTGTCCAGTGTACCTTTATTGCAGAGATTTTCTTCACTTTCCCAGTGGGCTTCAAGGAGCCTCAGAGAGGCGCTCTCTCTGTTGTTCACTTCTGTTCTATTTTCTGGAACTCATAACAATGGGCTTTATGTCCCAGGTGCCTCTGAGATGCAGATTCAGATCTCGGTGCAGCCTATGCACAAGTCCAGTGGAGTGGTCCTTGTGGGGGTACAAGGGGCGTGGCCTGTGCAGTGGTCCATGGGCTCATGTGTGGGGGAGGGTTGGGGGTGACTGGCCCTCTTTACAGTGGTGCCTCTGCTGCTGGGTGGTCCTGAGCCCTAGCCAATGAAATATTAGGGGGTGTGCTACAGTCAAAGCATTAAAATATTCTCCTATAGTTGAAGTTTCCATCACCATGAGCAGAACCTGCCTTGCAAAGTCAATTGGATTCAAAGTAAGACAAGCACAGAACAGATCTGAACCAAAGCTACAGTTTAGAGCCAATCCCAGCTGAGAGCAGTAAAAGATGCCTTGGTTCCCACCAGTGGACATAAGCATACATAATCATTGTTCTGAATTACCAAGAACTAGGTGGTTTGTTACACAGCATCACTTATTACCATAGCAGGCCAATACAGAGAAGGACGTTTAGAAACAGGAAATCCAGTTGGAAGATCACTAAAATCTCTGTGGTGAGATAAAATGATGGTCTGATGAGGGTGAGAACAGAAGAAATGAAAGTAGACACTTGGAAAGACATGAGGAGGAATAATTTAAAGGATCCCATGATTATTTGGATATCAGAGTTAGAGAGGAGAAAAGTTTCTAGTTGTTGTAATGGGAAGAATGGAGGGATCTTCTGCGAGACACAGACCACAGGAGAAGAGCAGGATGAAAGTCCCTGCATTGCACATCTTGTGTCTGAACTGCAAATACAAGGCCAAATGGGAGGTCTTTGATATTGTTCTATTCATCTCCACAGTGAGGACAGCACCAAGTCCTTCCTGATGCTGCGAAGAATGAGTACGAAGACACAAGCAAAGGGGCTTTGGAAATCACGCCTTGCCAATAAGCTCTGATAGTTACTGAAAGCACTTTTATTTTCATGTCACAGATGTAAAGTGCATATTCCAATTTTATTTTGGAAACTGTTACTGAGTTTGTTGCTAAACGCACATTCTTTTTAATTTTTCTGAGAGAAGAGAGAGCTAACATTTCTGAGAAACAATATAACTATACATATGTTATATTATATGCCTACATAACATCATGTACTGTTTTTCAAAGATTCACCTGCAAGAAGCAGAATTTGGAAGAAAATTTCATAGAGCTGATGGGCAAAATAACCAAGTTACCTTCTTTTGTGACCTTGGAAAAGCCATGTAAGCTCTCTAGCAGTCTTATTCATTTGTGGAATGAAAATTTTCATTTGTTAACTTGTAAGATGTCTCTCTATTCTTATGTACATGAAACAATGAATTCTCTTACATTTCAGCTTTCCTTACTTCCTACCAATGATAACTCTGAATTTGATCTTTTATTTCCCATTTGCCAGGAATTTCCCTTTTGGAGTGAATTCAGCTCATCTGACTGTGAGGTCCCAGGCGGGGAAATTTATTTTCATCCATGTGTGAATGATGAGAATCTAGAAGTTCGATTGCTTCACTCCTGTGACTGCAGCAGGATTCCACTTACCACTTAGTCAGGTGGTAATGAGGGGCTTTGGCCCAGGCATTGTGCCTGCCATCTGGCAGGTGGCATTATATGTTTGCCTGGCAGACAGAGCCAATTAGCTATACCCACACCTCCTGGGAGGCCTTCCTGTGCATGGTAGCTGAGTGTTAACCCTGCTGAGCCCCTAAAAAACCCTGATGAGTATGGGAGGGGAGGGGCATCTCATTTCTCTCTGGTTCACAGAACCAGAAAATGCCAGGATCTTGGGGTTCAAGAACTGCCCCATAAAGGCAGGTGCAGGATTGCTGGCAGAAAGGGGCAACTGGGTTTATTAGAAGGCATAACAAGAAACAAATTGACTTAAGTGTTCATAAAGATGTATTAAATGAATCATGTAATATCTATATGAAGGGACAAATGCAGTTGAGTGACTCAGGACCTAGAACCTGGGCTTGAATTATGGCTTAGCCACTTTTCAGCCTTATGACCTTGGCAAGGCAATTGTCTTCTTTGATTTCTCAGTTTCCTTTTCCATGAATTGAACATAGTAAGAGTTCCTCCTTATGCAGTGATTGGGAATAGTGAATTAGTTAATATATAGAAACTGGTACACAGTAAATGCTAAGTTAGTTCTGAATATTAGACCCACTAATGATGATGCATAGGATGAGTGTTTTTCATGCCAAGGAGAGAATTCTTGACATGGAATGAACTAAGAATATATACATAATAATTCTCATTCTGTATCTATGCATGGATGAAGGCAAGGAAAGAAGTTTTCTTTAGATAGATGTGTTTTATTTTCTTCTTATTCATATTCTTTCAATGTTCAAAAATGTATAACAATTGTATAATATTTTATAATTAGAAAAGTCCATTAAAGATGTAGTAAGAAGAAGAGAGATGGAGTGAATAAAACCAAAAAGAAAACCTTGGCAAGCATCTTATCTGCACACTTATGAGTGGCTTTAACTTTTCCAAGTTTCAGTTTTATTAACTGTATTATGGTGATAGAAATAACAGTGGCACCCACCTAAAAGTAAATTCCAAAAAAGCAAATAATAAAATTTACTCAAAATCAATGTCAATAATAAAGTCTTTTATAACTGCAATAGTATTATCAAGGTAATCCCCGGAGAGCCACAAAAACACAAAGAAACATATCAATTCCAGAGTCCAAAGCAGGTAAAACTCAGAGGTCTTTGGAAGTCAAAACTGGGCTATTTTACCCCTGACGATTTGTCACCTCCTGCTTAAAGCAGGCCTGAAATTCAAGGATCAATCACAGGAAAGCCAGAGAAACCTATAAGAGACCAGGAGGATTAAGTTCCAGCCTAGGCGGGAGAAAGTCACTCTTAAAGGTGAATGTCACTGTTCAACTCAACCTTGCTGAGAATCATCTGAAGTTCATTGGTGGACAACACCTACTCCAAATTCATAAGCCTTTGCACGGTTCTTAGGAGCAAAAGATCACAGATCCATATGCATTTATTTTCTCACATGACTGAAGTCTGGCTAATATCACAGTGATTGAAAAAGGGGCTATTGAAATTCCAAACTAAAAATAACTGTGCTAGAGTGTGCTGAAGACTCTCATTAGTATTCTACTAAAACAGTGGGCTGTGAATGCTTGGCAGCATTGCACAACTCCTACTCTATGTATCTGTTTAGTTGCAAGTTCAGCAATTTTTGGAAATGGTACTTTGTTATCAATGAATCATTAATTTTATCTTGATTTATGTCCAGTTTTTGATTGTTGATATACTTACTTTTTAATTAGAAATTATTAATCATTTAGTTCCTCATTATCAAGTAAATTTGTTGTGGACTGTTTGGTTGATTGTTAACAGAGTGCAGCAATATATTTTTCCATCAGGACAGATTAGGGCCTGTAAGTTCTTTATACATTTAGGTATGGCTACGTATGATTTTGAAAATAAATGATTTCCTCTTGCAGTGTGAAAGCACACACTTTCCTCCTGCTACAGGCCTGAACTTTGCATGGCTAGTGATGTTTAATCACTGTATTTATTACCGTGTACTGAGTTAGATATGGGCAGCACAGGTTGATCAATTTCGTCAGTGGTCAACAAAGATTCAATTAACAGAATGGCCTTGGAATTCATTTTCAGATTGAAAAAATTTGTTTCTAATTTCTATTTCACAAGAGATGTATTAATTTCTATTTGTACATGTGCATGCTCATGTGAGCCTGTTGAAATCTGCATTTTCCTACTAAGTTTCGAAGAAGAGCACTGTGTTTATGTTACTCACTCTGCCATCCACATATGTGCTGCTGCATGTCCCTGCTGGGAGCTGCTGGTTGTCTTCTGGTTGTGGGGCGTTGTCTCGGTGCTTGCTGCCTTGCTGGTCACCATCACCTGGGAGGTTGCCAGTGTGCTGGGCAGAGGGCTTAGGAGGAGCCAGTGGCTCCCTTTCTGCCCACCCTGTAGTGTCCATCGTGGGTTTCTTCAGGGCCACTAGGGTGCCTGCCTGCAGGTTCTCCTCTTGCCTGCTGGGGAGAAACAGGAACGTACCTTGTGACTGTCAAGGCAGATGCTATGCACTTGGTTGTGCAAGAGGCAGAAAGTATTGGTCTGATCATGTAAGCCTGGAGTCTCAGCACTGAGCAGTGCTGGTTGTCTGTTGTCTGCCATGGACAGATCACAGTGTTCTGTCATCAGGGATTATTCTACCTGCACCCTTTCTGGTGCTCATCCACAGCTGCTCCAAACCCTTACTGGAAGTAGTGGACAGTACGAAACAGGAGCCCTCAGCATCCTCACACTTCTGTTCATAACTCCAGCAGGATTTTCAGCCATGGCATCTGAAGAAGGAAGAAAGCCAAAGGGCTCACCGAGTCCAGCTGTGCTGTCTCCTGTGCTCCCTCACCTCCAGATGTCTTTTCCCTTCAGCATGCCTCTAGTTATGTTTAACATCAAGCAAAGGAGATACGGAGACTACTGTAGGAATGACACTAAAGTACAGATGATAAAATTAACTAAAGATCAGCCTTGTTTAATAACTCAGATCTGTGAATCAAAACAATAACAAGGCATCATTCTAAATATAGGAAATTTCTTTGAAAATAAGAAACTCAAATGCTAATGGCCACAAGAGATATAATCAACACTGGAAGTGGGTGACCTCACAAAACATACCAAGAGTTAGGCAGCTGAAACATTTCAATGGCATAAAACAACTTTAAGAATGTGTACCAAGGAAAAGATGCAAAAATAAATTAAAAATTTGAAATATTTAGTAACCCTTGGATATACTGAATATTTCTATGCTCATATGATGGAATATACAAAGCCATTAAACAGTGTTGAATAATTCTAATAACATGAGTAAATGTCAAATTATAAAAATAAGTGAAAATATGATTATTTCATTTATGTAGAAGGTATGTATATAATGTATAAGCACATTAAGTCTAGAAAAATGTACAATAAAAGTCAGTAGTATCTGAGGCTGGTAGATTGTATTCTTCCTATATTGTCCCATAACATTCCAGTTTACTGTATAAGAAAATATTATTTTATAATCAGAAAAAATGAATTTCAAAATAGTTATGCCTTAAACCTAGAAATTACTCTATACTCTCTAGCTGTAATTATTGATATGATGGAAAATATCCATTTTTAAAATTGGACAAATTACTCTGAATATAAAATAATTGCTCCAAAGTTTGTTGGTTTAAATAAGGCCAAACTATCGAACATGACTGGACTATGTGTATATTGTTTATAGTCACCCTTTCACAGTGGTATCATGAGAAGAAAAGAAGGTCTGGGAATGTCTCTGACAGAAGACTACATTTACAGGGGTAAGTACAGTCCTACAGGCGGTGAGGAAGAGACTTCCAGTCAGGAAAGTCAGGCGTGTGGGGTCTGTTGGCCCAGAGGCTGCTTCAGAGAAAGGACACTGACACCAGTTTCAAGGGCTGGTGAGAATAGTTGAGTTTGGGAAGTGTAGGTTTGCCTCAGCTGTAGGAAGTTGTCAGAGATCCTGGTAAGAGATGTCAATAAGATCATGGAGATGGGCACCACACTGAAGAGAGAGAAAGAAAGAGAGGAGATAAACAAGTAGAGCCCAAGGGTTCACAGCAGTAGCACTGCGCCTGCCTGGCAAGCACAAGATCCTAACTTGGATTCTCAGTACTGGAAAAAAAAGAAAATGAAACGAGAGGAACGTGGATGTGGAATGTGGGCTTTAGCCAGGCATTTGTTATTATTGTTTAAAGATCATATGGGACACACTGAAATGCCGATGGTGAGCCATGCTTAGTGATTCACACCTGTCATCCCAGCATAATGGGAGACTGAGGCAGGAGGAGCAAAAGTTGGAATCCACTCTGGGAAACTTAGTGGGACCCTGTCTCAAATTAAAACTTTTAAATAGAGCTGGGATAGAACTCAGTGTGAAGGTCCTGGGTCAATCTCCAGTAATGAATAAAAAATGCCAATGATGAAGAGCCAGCTGAGGTGCAGAAAAGGCAAGCATGGCATTGACAAAACACTGATCCCCTAGGGACATGTGAAGTCTTCAAGAAGACAGAGTAGGATGGAAAATGTAGTGGCCTGGGTGAGTTTGCAGGCAAATTTGTGTGTTTAGTGATAGAAGCTGATCAGATTGGTGACAGCCTGAGTGTTTTCCTCAGATAACAAGGTGCAGTCACCTGTTAGGTCTCTGGGGAAAAAGTGAGACAGGAAGTCTGAATCAAGAGCAAGAACTCTGAGCCAGCTGCCAGGAGGTGTGGGAGAGTAGATCAGAAAAGCAAGGCAGCTGTTCCCTGGGAGTGCCCATTCGTCCTGGAGATGCAGAGGCCAAGACTCTGGGCCTCACCCAGAATGGGGCTTTGCAAATAAGCACAGTGGAAGACAGACAGAAGGACTGGACAGAAGTTCCAAGTCAGTAGGCAACAAACGGGTCTTGAAATTAGAGAAGGTGTTAGTTTCCTGGCCTTGAGAAACTTAAACTTTATTTGGCTATACACAAATAACACCAATAGTAAAGTTGGCAACAGGTATAGGCTTGATCTTGGAAGGGGGGACAGTGGTAGCCCTTTCAGGGAGATACAAAGGTAAGAAGGGATTGCGCATGGCTTCCAGGTGCTGCTCAACTCTGTTCCTTGATCTGAGTGTTCAGTGAGTGACAGACTTCTGACTGTGCACCTTTACACAAATGAAGATATTGTTCTCTAAAGTGTTAAAAGAAATGGTGTGAAATTTAAATAACATAGAACAGTATACAAATAAATGTCAAGTGAATATAACAAAAAATTAATACTAACAGGAGTTCATAAAAGAGAAATATTTGTGGTCTGCAATGGCAACAGAAATAATTGCATTACTGAGTGATGAACTACATTAAACTACATGTGAATCACAATATGACTATTTATATACCTTATAAATTTATTCTCAAATCAATTATCAGCAGGTACTCATATTCTCATTTTAGGAAGAAATTCAGATTCATAAAATTCATGTGTCTTATTTAATTCTACTGTCTTTTGTGTGATGGACCTAAGATTTAAACCCAAGTCTAACTGATGGGTTCAATATGAAATCCCACTGCCAATAGAATTGAGGGAGTGTGCAGGAATGTCTTGTGAATTTGTGAGGAGCAGACTGCCAATTAGACAATGCACAATTCAAAGGCAAAAATGGTCCTGGACATAGAATTCACCCTTTTTCCTGCAGTAATCACCTTCAAAACCCATTCCAGGGCAGTTCAGGACTAATTTGCTAAGAAGTTCCTAGCTGCATCTATCTGTCTTTTAAAGCAGCCACAGTATAGGAAAAAATGACCCATTAAATCTGTTTTAAATGAAAGCTGTATTTTAAAAAATGCGTAGCACTTTAAAATTAACATGAAAACTACTCTGCAGCTGAGAATCGCCGCGTGTCTTCAGTTAGCACAAGCAATTCTTCGATTCTCATTTGCTGCTAGCTCGCTCACAGACACACAGATCTTTCTTCCAGGCTCCTGGGTGAACTACTTACTGGAAAGAGAAATTTGCCATTTCAAAAGCAAGAGGGGAAATGCCATCAAAAGTGTGTTGGAGAGGAGACACAGATGGCTTCCACATGTGTTCCTCTAACCTAAACAGCTGCTCTGGGAACCATGAGTTTAGGGTCGTCCAGGAATCAGAACAATTACAGGATCACGGAGGTGCTGACAATCATAGCTGAAGCGACGGTGTCCAGTTGTAGCTCTCTCACCCTGGCTCTTGCTGGAAACCAGCTCCCTTGTAGAGCTAAGGGTCCCTGTGCAACAGAATCCCCTGCCCAAGGCAGTGGAGTAGCACCTAACCCCATGTGACCCTGTGTCACCAGCCCTCCCCACTGGAGGTGGATCACGCCCCTGCCAAGAGCAGAGTCTCAGATGGAGGACCCACGGGCTCAGGAAAGGTCCTTAGATGCCATCCTGAAGGTCTGCCAGCCCATCTCCGTCGATGTCGACTCCCAGGCCCCAGTCCTCTGGAGCAGGCAGCAGAGAGTGCCACACCTTGAGGGGTCTGATTCCCTCCGTGAAAGCCCATTCTAATTTGGAAGCCATAAGAGATTATGGACACAACCAGCTTTTCCTTTTTGCCAAAACAGTAGCAAATAAAATAGGAAAGGGAAGGGAATATGGCTGAAAATCTCACCAAACTCCACAGTGAAGCTGAAATGGGAAGCCAGTGATACTCTATATGTCAAATGTTATTGTAACAAAGTATGATGGATTTTCCTTTTGCTTTTGTTCTTTCTGTGCCATGGGGCTGTACCATTAATCATTACCATAGAAATGTGGTCTGCAGAAAGATCTTAAAAGAATGTTAATTTAACTCCTAAACCTAGGCCCAAATCATTCCTTCATCACTTTAATTATAGCAGGTAACATGTTCTAAATGCTTGGTTGTGTCAGCCACTACACAGAAATTCACATCAATTCTTTCATGTTATCCTAACAATCTGGAAAGTTGGTATCGCTGTCCCCACTGTACAGATGAAGAGGGGGTTGAGTAACTGTCCGCATCACCTTCCAGCAAGCAGAGTTCTAGAAGTGGCAAGGACAATGGCACGAGGTCCCAGCCTTCGCTCGTCAACCCCACACCCGTACTTTGTAAACTGTCTAGCACTAAACAACAGGATGTGTATTCCGTTTCTTCTTTAAAACTTTAATCGACTTGTAATGAAAGGCATCTGGTCTGCCCTAATCTGGTTTCTGCCAAACACCCGAGTGGCCATCCAGCCGTTCAATCCTGTGTAAGTTTCCAGAGACAGGGATGTTATTACATTCTCCGATCATCCCCAAAGTAGCTCTTTCTTTCTTTGTAACATTAACCAAAGTATTGACATTAAATGAAATAATAAAAGTTCATGTTTATGGCATTTGCACTGCAGTGTTTTACAGAATAAGACTGGTTTCTCAAATTTGGGATACAAAATTAGTACCCAATTCAGTGAACATTGTTCTTTAGTGTGATGTACTTTTAATTTACAAAAGAATGATATCTTAATA